GATTTGTGAAGAAGTGAATGAGATTTCTTCTAATTACAGCTGTTGCACTCTCCCAGGATCTAAAGCACAGGTTTCACACCCTAATACCCTCTAGCACCTACTAGTTACACTCCAATCCAATGTCAAAGATCAAAGTTTAGAGGGCAGGGTTTTGTTCCCAGGCAACTTGTAGCAATTCTTTTCGGGCTATATGGGGAATATCATGACTTTTGTCAACTTCTTTCTCCCCTCTGGTCCTGGTGGTAGATATTTGTTAACGGACAAGTGACCCAGCGGCTCTGGGGCCCCAGAAGTATGAGTACCCGCTGCGCACATTTACACTGTAGAGTTTACTCAGGTGCTATCGGTCAAGCGATACTCGCTGAGAAAATATGGAATTATGAATGACTTTGCAGGAGACTTGAACTTACAGTTAAGACTATTCAGTGTTTGAGACATCTAAAAGTACACGGGTGAACATTATTGAACAAGGGAGACTTTTCTTCTCCCTGAGAAGGTAGTGGTTAAGGGTTTCAATCCCAGCCCGACACTAACGTCCTTTCGCAAGACATTGTTTCAACAGTGTTTCAACAGTGTTTCAAAAGTGTTATGATGAACATTCATATTACAGAATGCTTCAATGAATTATAGCTTTTATAACAGAGAAGGGGAGGAAATGAAATATTGTTCATAACATGGGTATAAAATAGAATTGTAATTGTAATTGTGTCTCAGGAACACGGGGAATCAAAACACTAATTATTATTATTCAACAGTGCATATTTTGCTTCCATGCATTTCATTTTAATTCAAATGTCATCCGGTGGTATTAAAGGTACTATGTCCCTTTTGCAGCCAACCTCAAATTCTGTAGAACTTTGCAGGAATTATGAATATGTCATGTATGTCCTATATGTGAAATCTAAACGTTAGCAATGTCTTAATATTCAAATTATGCAAGGAAACCCGTTTACTTGCTAGACTTCACTGTCAGACACTATTGAGTGACTGACTGGCTTATTTCTTCTTTGGTAATAACATACATAAAATGAGCTGTAAAAGGTACATGAGCATTTGTCTACATCAATAACCCACTTTTGTGATGGCCAAAATTAAACTGATTGAATCTTTGCGCAGCATAAAAAGTATGACCATTCGATACAATGGTCTGAAAATCAATACTATTACTTATTGGCTCTAAAGCTCCTAAGTCGATTTGACGACTAATAGTCGTTATTTTCTCACTTGAAGACATTTTCAAGCCCCACCTTTTATAGGGAAGTTCTAAATTACTATTATCTTTCAAATGCCGTTGGATTTTAACCTTTTCATTTTTTTGCTCTGCAAATGGGACAGAGTACCTTTAAGGTGCAATATCCCTAAAATAAATCATTGAGAAAAAAATGACCATGGAGAGTCAAATCTTATACATGGACAACAGCATTAGAACAATATATTGAGGGTCTATGACCAATGCTTTAAACATTTCTTTTGTTTTAGAACGAAGGCAAGAAACTGATAGTTTTACACTTAAGAATTAAAAGACCTCGTTTTCAATTTCCAACCCCTCTCAAAATCAGGAGGAAACCGTCCCAAGAAATAATCAAGAACAAAGCCGCCAGTTGCCAGAGAGATGGAGACTACATGCAAGCAATCGTAGAAGTACCTACATAAACTGTTTCCTTTCAATTAAAACAAATAATCCCCTTGCAAAAGCTGCTCAGTGGGGTGCCCCCGAGATGCATCTGTAAATTGATTGTCCCTTTTTTGACCGATTTATAGCCTTCATTTGACACTAACAATCATATTCATTACAAGAGATAAAGAAAAGGATTAACAAGTATAAGCCCCCCCCCCTGTCATCAATAAAGTATTGATATGTGTGGGCTAAAGAAGGTATTATTTTTTCCAGTGCGACAATATCAATCCCTGAGGCCTGAATTAATCATGAGTTGATTCTGTCTGTTAGTCTGGGGGCATATGAGCATAAACGATTGCTTTCTGTGTTAGGTCCACATGACCAACCATGAATTTACTGCAAAAACAGAAACTTTTGTGAAATGAATTTGATGAAGCTACCGTGAATTGTAAGTGATTGCAATTTTACAAGGCAAGAAACTCCAGCAGGTTGCAAAAATGAGGTGTTTTGTCCATCGAGATTCAATCATGAATTATTCCATTGCATGAAAATTTCAATCTGAACCCCTTGCAAAATATGTGAACATTACATGCACAGTAAAAAGTCTGTTTTTGTAAATTTTAACATAACAGTGAAATTCTTTTCAAGTTTGCAGGTGGTATTTCAAATAACATAAAAAATATGTTATTTTCATACCGATTCAAATCATGTAAATTATCAATTTTGAATTTAAGCAATAGTCAAAGAAGTTGGGTGTCAAAAGATAATCTGGATGCTTCACACGTATGTTAAGTGATCAACAAATCTCAAACCAAGTTATGTGTGCAAGAATTGCAGTTTAAATTGACAGTGTTGCAAAACCATGTCTTAAATTATTTACTAATTAATTTTCTCTTAAATTTGTCAAAGTCTTGCCCTAGCCAGTTAAATGTCGCTTTCAAATGAGTTTTTATAAAGGATCAGTGGTTTCATGTTTTAGTCTACCTTACAAGAAAAGGAGAGATTCCTCATGGGACACTGAGGGGGGCAACAGCGCACCCCTATAGCTGGTGGAGTGTATCTCCTGTATACCCCCTTCAATAGGAGTCTAAAAACTGGTGGTACAGCTCACCTGTATTGCCAACTCTCTTGTAATGGGAGCAGTCTATATATTGATCTTAGGAATCAATACACTATTCGGGACATTCACATGAATGGGTAAGAGAATGGCATCTAGCTTAAGCTATCACAAGTTTCAAATGATTTTGTTTAAAAAAAAATACCTCAAAGCTTGACAGTCTACGAAATAACCTAAAATTATGCAGGAAAATATTTCACCAAACAGTGAGATGCGTAGAGAATGACAAAATTCAGGTTGTCTTTAAATTTGTTTGTCTAACAGACAATCAGACAAACAAAAACAAAGGGTATCACACACACAAAAAAAGGCAAGACTGAATTCAAATGTACTAAAAAATTCATCTTTTTTTGCTTGACAATTTTAAGAATAGATTCATTGACCTTTCCAGTGACAGGGAAATGCTTACAAAAAGATATTGAATGCAGGCGTAGATTATCAAAAGCATTTCATTTGTGCTTTGATAAAACTGTTTGTTTTATACAATTCAATTAAATAGTTAGCCACCCATATGGTATTTGACATATTCCAATGAAAGGTGTAGATCTAAATACAGTCATTCCAGGGCTATTTTTAATCTGGAAAGAAAGGCACAACTTTCCGCACCAGGAGGCAGAATCCCTGGCTGGAAAATTGGGTTCTTTGATCACACAAGCAGGACTATTAGCTTTTTCCTTTGGGGAAGGGGGTGGGGTGTTGGGAGGGAAGGGGGTGGGGGTGTTGGGAGGGAAGGAGAGGGAGGGAAGACAGAGGAAGAGACAGAGGAGGGGAGGAAGAGGAGGGCAAGGAGGAGATCTAATTTCTATTCTTTAACTAATTTTCGTCATGCATAGACTAAATAGACTAAAGAGATTAACTGCATTCTCTACCAATTCCAAAATTCTAAATCATAGAATAAAGATATTGATATCCATTATGCTGAATTCAATTATCACCCATCCATTCTTTCAAATTTGTCAACATTTCTAAATAGTACTTTCCTAAGTCTAACCACACCATATTGCACAATACCCAAGAGCTGATGTAAATCATCTTTAGAATTAGCAAATATATACATATTTCTCATATTCTGAATAAGAATCAGATCACCATATGCGAGAAAAAGCTAGGTCACTTCTCAAACTCTTCACACTTGAGCGTTTCTTAAATAGTAGGACTGGCCTTAAAAGAACGCTCTTTTATGTAGGACTATCCAAGGAACAGTTCATGTGGTATGAGAGCATTCAATGCCATTTGCTTTGAGTTATATTCAGATGCATTTACACTTGAGGTAAGAACGTTTCTTAAATAGTAGGACTGGCCTTAAAGGAATGGTATTTTAAAGTAGGACGATCCGAGGAACAGTTCATGTGGTATGAGAGCATTCATTGCCCTTTGTTGTGAGTTATATTTAGATGCATTCACATTTGAAGAGTGGTTTTTTAATAAAAAAAACAGTGGGATCAAGAAGCGAGCAAGAGAGTTCCACTGCAATGCTCTTAATGAGACCACGGTATCCTTTGCGCTTTTATGTTTCAGAAGCAAGAGTACAAAAGCAAAACAGGAAAAATGATTGAAGCGCTAATGAACACTGAAATATACAAGTCAAGGTCAGAGTACTGTCCCAGCAGAAAAGTGCACAAAAAAAAAGAAAAAAGAAAAAAAAAAAGAAAAAAAAGCTTTTCAAAAGTGCAAAAAAAACAAAAAGAGCATAAAATCAAGCAATAATCTGGGCTAAACTACACATGTAATGCTCTCATATACGACAAGAGCAATTGAGCATTAATAGATAAGCTTGAGTGTTATTTTCATGATGGCGGCAGCATATGAAATTATTTGTCATCCTTCTAATACCCAGAGCTGCCAACCTTGTGCGACCCCCAAAAAAGGAACCATGATGGCAAAAAAAAAGAAGGAATTTCAAGAAAAAAAAAAGGAATTCATTAAAACAAAACTTACAACACACACTTCCAATGCAGAAATGTCCACTCCTCATGCTGTTTTTTTTCCCTCCATATTAGGACCTATAGTTTATTTATAAGTAGATATTTGTTGTTGTTATTTTGGTATTATCAGCGTTTCATTCTTTTGGGGAATATATTTCTCTTCAAGTATGTTTTAACCTCAGTTTTCTATTGAATTTGTGATCAAATCAACATTTTAGGGCAGTTGTTTGACGTGCGGAATGTAAAACAACAGAAAAAAAAATTACTACCGTAATTTGGAGGAAAAAACAGAATAATTCCAAGAAAAACGTAATGGTTGGCATCTCTGCATATCCCATTGTCTACACTGAATACAATAATAGTATTTAAAAATGAAAAAAATTGAACATGCTATAAACACAGTAGATAGGTTGATGTTCATATTAGAGAGCAAAGTGTATGTTGTTAATGATCTATTTTGTTAATGTTTTGTTTACGACGAGCTTGAAGCTGGACTCACACACTGAATTTAACATGGCTACTTGAAGAAAGTCTTTGAATTGAAGAGGTGGGCATAAAATGCTTGGATACCGGTATGTATTTTTCGAAGAGCAAATTCATGAAAGAACCAGAAAAATTAAATGAGAATGTCCAATTTCTGACCACATTTAGATAACAATCGTATTTAAAAATCTATTTTAGACTACTTATAATGAATTATCCTTTGTCCATTAAGTTGTTGCGTCCATAAAAGATGAAAATGTATTGGCTAAAATAAAATAGAAAATTATATGGGTGAAGAAAATAAAATTATGTAGTTAGAACTTTTCTTCAGAATAATGTTCTTCAATCAACTATCTTAAGAGCAGTCTTTTCGGAAAGTCACAGAACTTGCCTGTAATCAAACATCTACAAGATTGAAGTAAGTACAAAATCTTTTAAAATAGGAACTTTTAGGAAGTATAACATTCTTTCACATGTTGAATACTACCAGTAATCAATCAGGTTTAGGCCTAGCTCTGCCATTCTCTTTGTAACATACACCAGTGATAGTTATTTAACTTAAACAAAAAAACATGAGGTCTAGAACTAAGCCAAAATCAGTGAATACTTGGTCTTTCCTGTTTTCAGAGACATCAATGTAGTTTAAATTTTTTTGAATATAAGACCTTTACATCCAGTACTAACTTGATGAATACTTTTTTCCCCTTCTTTTTCTTTGTTCCAGACAATTTCTTCAATCCCAGGGGATAGGTCTAGTCTAGCCGCCTATGCCTAACTCAGTGAATACACATGTTGGGTTCATTCTCTTAACTAACGAGACCAATGAATGTTTAAAACTTCTATTAAATACACAAGGGCATTGTACTCTACTAAAACCTAACCAAGATGCTGGGCTAAGGTTTTTGTTTAAAATTGGGTTTGACAAAGGATTTTACACCCGAGGTCTAATTTTTGTCCTTTGTTAAATGTGATCTTAGACCCAGGGCCGGGTTTAAATTCAGGATGGATCACTCTTTGTTCTACAGAAACTTAAAAAACCCCAGAAAAACGTTTAGGTCTACGCTTCACTCTAAGAATACTTATAGTTGACCAAGTCCAGTTCCAGATGGTCTTGATATGGTCTTGGTCTGGTCTAGAACTGGGCATCTAGGTAGGCCAGGGCCGATTGTGAGTTCCAATCAGGAGCGTTCTCAAAGCCGTTGCGTCCGAAGCGATGGTCTTTGATGCCTTCTTCCACCTCTTCTACTGTATTCATCACAAAGTTACCTGCAGAAAGAAGGAAGGAAAAGAACCGTTAACTACAGACCAGTTTGGGTTAAGTACATGGTACAAATTACTAAAATAGTCACAGATCTTATGAGCATGCAGAGAGGATCGACACATTTTTCGAAAAGCATCTCCAAAAATTGAGGTGCTCCATCAATAGCTTTTGTTTCCCTCTGTGAAAAGAATTCCTTCACCTGTATCTCGGTTTTGGTATGAACTGGTGGTGCCCTAAATAAATAATGAGGACATACTTTTCACATATCCAGTATTTGCCTCAATAGGATCTAATAGACTTGCTTACTTAATGTAAAAGTAGTAATATATATCTGTAAAGTGCAGGGCCTGCGGTCCTGAAATGCGCTATATAAGGACGAATTATTATTATTATTATTATGTATTTAAATTTATGCATGATTCTCTTCAGAACTCCTAGCTACTAAGGTATTCAAAGTTTATGAATACTTTTCAAACAAAGGTTGTTTTTGACAGCCTGAAAGCTTGTTCAAGGCTTGCCCCACATAGCAATCAAGTAACATAATTATGCAGATTGGATTCAGGAAAAATACAGATGCAATTTACTTTACATACATTTGTTGTTGCTATGTCTGTTTGTAAATGTGTTAGTTTTTATTTTAAGCAGTTGACCAACAGTTTTAGGTCCTCTCTAGCGCATGGACTTGGTTTTGAATCTAGGACCTCCTGGTTACAAGACCACCGCTCGACCACTGTGCCTCAAGAGCAACACTATTGTAACATTTTTAGAAGTATTTCACCAAGCGCTTGAGTTCCTTGATAATCTTGTTGTCCATATCACCAAATATTGACTTGTATCAGTTATAAAGGAGACCCTAAATTAGGATTTAACTGTTATAAATGGTTAGTATGACAGATAAAGGCAGTCAGGCAAAGAGAGTAAGAAAGAAATGGAAATAATGTACATGGCAAGAATGTTGCAAAGAGGTAGGAAGATAGAAATACTTAAGAGTGAGAGGGAGAGAGAGAGAGAGAAGGATGAGGTAATAATAGATACAAGGGCACATCAGGATTTAACTGAAATTGTAATGTTGTAATCGTTAAAAAGGGAATGAGTCCCCGACAAAATAAGACGTGCTTCATCCCAAACTGTGTGTGATCCCTTTTTAATTCTGGGACGTAAAAAGTCCAGTGGTCAGACTCCTCTAATTGCCCTCACAATACCTCAAGTAATAACATAATTGAAACTCTCTTGCTGGTGGATCAAATTGGTCAGTAAAATCTGATAAAACTCCTGTCATGACGGGTCAGGATTGCAACATTGTTTCCTTTGTCCGATCTTGATTGGATTACGATGAGGATTTTGTATGATGTTTTTGTTACAATTGCTCCCGCACTTTGCTTGTCTGATTTCTTTTGGCAGGTATGTGCACGGAGGCTCTTCATCGAATCAAAGAAATGGAAACTGACTTATTGGTTGCTTGAATTGCCTGGGAAACCTCTTTAATCGTCGATTTGCAAAGTTAGTCAGCAATCCTCTTTTCATGATATTCTCAGGGGAATGATAAATCATCTTCCGAGACAAACTACTTTGGGTTTGTTGACATGAAAAGAAAAGATTTGAAGATGGTATGTGGTCGGGAACAGTCAATGATTTCTTAAATGTTTCAATTTTACAGGAGAAAAGAGGTTTAGAATACGTGACCCCATTCACACTGCAGTGTAATAAAATGCTCGCGTAGGATACTTTCAACCTCAGTCCTTAGCTCTCTGTGGATGGAAGGCTATCCAGCCAAGGGAGCTCTTACTTTTTGAGTGTGAATTAGGGTATTCAGGTCAATCAGGATCCTACAGTGGCAAGATTTCAGACAGAGAAATATAGGATGTAATAGGAGAGATACCGGTACTTGCTGCATTTGCACTGCAAGCAAAATATAATCAATCAATTCTTTTAACATTCCAGTATTTTTTTGGAGGTTTCTTAGGCAACTATGGAAAAATAAACATTACAAAAAATACAAATATTCCCCCCTCATCTCTGGAGTATGGTTTTGAAACATTGGCAGCAGTTTCACCACTTTTTCCAGAGTAAGTGCTCGCTCTAAAAACATTAGTGAATGATTCAAAAAAAAAAAAAAAAGAGAGAGTGAGCAAATGCCAACATTTTTTTAATTGTTTTTTTAAGTCGTGTAAATGACAGTCCTTAAAACAATGTTTTTTGGCTGTGTAAATGGGCCTATAGAGATAAGAGACAGAGAGAAAATGTAACTGATTAAAAGTATTTGAAGAATTTGAAAAGATCTGAACATGGATAATGGCAATGCTAATACTGTTTTGTTGGTGCAGACATTTATCTTAACGTAAAAGGGCAGAAGAAACATTACAAGTCATAGGAGAAGTAAAATAAATGTGACTAAAACAGGAGATGAAAGAAAAAAAATCAACATAGAAGATTAAAAAGAAAGTTGTTGATTAAAAAGATGATGTCAGACATTTGAAGACAGCTAAAGGGGCAATGAACCCAATGAGTCTCAGAAATTGGCACGAAAAGCAGGAATTTAACGTACTGGTCAAAGAAATTTCTGGCTGAAGTATTCCTCATAAAATAAATTTTGAGGGAATTGGGACAAGTATCTTGCAACACACATCCTTTAAAGTAAAGCAGGATGATAATATTAAGATTCTAACTTTATTCAGCATTCTTAGAGAACAGGCTTTTGATCCTAAATATTTAAAGCAGCGATCACCTTCATCTAAAAAATAAAAAAAAAACAGCAAAGAAAAGATAGTCCTGACATTTATATTCACACTGATAATGGCTCACAAATGTGTAGAAGAACTCTAAAAGAGAAAAAAATGAAAATTTGAAGATGTTTGAGGGAGACTGACAAAAGGAATGATTTATTACATTTATATCAAATTAAGCAAAGCCCTGGATAATAACATCATCAGTCAATTTTTTTTTTACTGATCAATTGAATAAATGAAATTGGAAGGCTTACAATAAGGAAATCTATAAATCAGATATTAGAGGAAATTGATAAATTGGTGAGATTGGATTTGATATTCATCATTGATCCTGAGTAAAAATTGTAAAAATATCTATCACTCAAAAAGTGGCAGTTGGACTTGTTAATAACCAAAATTGATGAATCTTTACAGCCAATACAACTAGATTACCGGTAAAAAAAACACATATCTAACAAAAGGATTATGGTCTCTTCTCTGACATGTTCCTCTCTAAAGGATATAATTTGATATATTATGTTATTGAAACATTTATTGGAAACAGATACTTTCGTTCGACTAAGAGACTTCCGGTGAAAGAGAAACTGGAATCTACTTGGAGCACAATTGCAAAGAATTTCAAGAAATCAAAATTGGGCAATATCGATAGCCTTGTGTGTCATCTTTTGAAATGTACAGACACGACAATGACGTATCATGTAATTTGATGTTTCCCAATGGAAATACAATAGGGTATTGAGATTGCCCTTGATCTAGAACCTTGAAAGTCTGTGTGATCAACTTTGGTCAATAATCAAATCAATCTTAAATGATATTCTGAAAAAGCTTGGCATATTGGAGGCATTTAAGGTAAAAAACTAATATTAGTTTTGCGTGTCTCCCCTCTGCGATTCAAAGAAGTCTCCCTGCATTACTTATTACTTAAAAGATTTATCAAAATTTTCTTTAGAAAATTACAAAGCAACTGGTATCTCAGTTATGAGAGTTAAAACTGATTGAAAAAAGAAGGGATTTTGAACCTTCATGTCTAACTGCTCTTTCTCAATTTCCCCTATCCCTTCCTCCATTTTTCTCTTATATTCCTCTCTCTTCTCTTTCTATCCCTATCTTCCCTTCCTCCTCCTTATAAAAGGGGAAGTCCACTTTGATATTAAAGGTAAAGACCAGTATTGGAAACGCCCCAATTTCAAAAAATAAAATGGAAGCTCTTTATTACCAATCATGTGAAAGAATATGTTTTGACTAATACATGATGATAAAAATTTTGCCGGGAAACCGCCTACTAATTGATATATTTGGTAAATTGGTTTATCTATTGGACGGTGAGAGATAAACGCACGTGTCGCGCACGAGTGCATAGTCCCATATACATCTTTCTGTGTACAGTGCTTGTAAATTTACGAAAAGACTGGGCCAAATTTCTTATCATCTTGATGATTCCAGAACCTTGCAGTACACACCAATACTTATATGCTAGATGATCAAGCTTTTCTGATCGATTCCACAACGTTTCTTTCACAATACAATGGCATGACCAGAACTGGTCTTTATCTTTAAGTTGGTTTTGATAGAAGCAGAAAAGTGAGAGAAACAGGGGAGTAAAAGTAACCGATTACAAATTAAAAAATTAATAATTTTTAAAGGTGCAATCAATGAAACACATATTGGCTACTCTGTGACATATCTTGCAAGGTCCCCTCCCATTTGCCCTGTACTAAAAAATGAAATAAAAATAAAATTATATTTTCAATTTGTGTTTCACTGATGACAACTTCAAAATTCATAACTTTTCTATGTTTAAGCAGATATTGCTCAAACTCTCACTAATTTGTTTCTCTCATTGTTCTGCTTCTATCAAAATCAACTCTGGTGGAATTTCCCTCAAGAAGAGGGATGTCACTAGACTTACTAATTGGTGCTAACCAACCCACATATATATATTTCAGCTCTTGTGACATCATTTCCCTAGTACTATGACATCTATTCTTTTATGCATTCCTCATTTACAAAAGGCATTGTAATCCTGAACAATTAAACCAATCAAATCACCTTCCTCAAGGGATTAAGCCTTGCTAATCCCATTATTAATCCAAGATCAAAGGAATACCTGCCCAACGTTTTGATGTAGCAATCCCAGAAGGGGTCAAGATGTACAAATGAAGTCAAGACACTTGCTCTAACGTGGATACAGTCACTATAGCTCCTCTAAAGTGTTGGAAGCCCCCCAAATTTGATGGCAAATTGTATTATGTGAAAGAGCTAGATGTCATTTAAGACAT